TTTTTTGAGGCCGAGTTTTGCTTTTGTTGCCCAGGCTGGAGAGGTAATGGTGCGATCTCAGCTTACAGCAACCTCTGCCTCCCGGGTTCAAGCAATTTTCCCGCCTCAGCCTCCCGAGTAGCTGGGATTACAGACATGCACCACCACACCCGGCTAATTTTGTCTTTTTAGTAAAGATGGGGTTTTTCTATGTTGGTCAGGCTGGTCTCGAACTCTTGACCTCAGGTGATCAGCCTGCCTCAGCCTCCCAAAGTGCTGGGATTACAGACATGAGCCACCGTGCCCAGCTGGTTTCTGAAATTCTTATGAGCACTGTCCCATAGTACCGACACCTTGCCAAAGTGAGAGGCCTATCTGACTGTGATTCCACTTCTGTCTAACAGAGCAGTCCCAGATCTGGTACATGGGAAGCCCACAGAGCTTTCAAGGAAGTCCAAAAGGATCTAAAACAGTTCAAAATGAAGAGGCCTCCTCCACGCCAAATTCCTGTCCTTTCTGAATGGAAGTGTCTACTGCAGTGTGTCTCTGTGTATTAGGTTGGGAGTGTTTGGGATGGAGGGAAACAAATGACTTGTCTTTTTAGTATACAGGTATCTGACTCAAAAGGGATCCACTGAAGAAGCTTTAGCCACATCCAGACTGTTACACTTAAGATACTGGACTTTTGAGTCTGAAGATAAAACTTCTGGGGATCTTGGGAGGTGGGTGAGTTTATCTTGCACATGATAAGGGTATGAATCATTGGGACCAATAAATCATGTCTCCCTGTATCCACTCACTTATGTTATCCCCTTCTATGATGACTGGACTTGGCCATGTGACTTTCTTTGGCCAAAAGGACATTAGTGAACATGACAAAAGCTAAAACCATAAAAGTACTTCTTACCTGGGGCTGTCCTCTCTTCCTGTGTAGAGAAACCCAAGACCATGTGACCAAGCCCAAGCCCACATGGAAGACAACCAAGAAGAAACTAGGCACCCCAGGCAACCAGCTTCCTAACTGTCACACATGGACAGTCCTCCAGCCCTGGTCAAAATGCCAGCCAACTGCAGCAAAATGTGTGGTCCCAGCAGAATGCCAGACAGCAAGACCAGGTGAAACCTGCAAAACCTACCTGTGCCTGCCCAAACTACAAGCCTACCAAATTCTGTGCTAATAAGTGATTTTAAGGCATTGATGTTTAGGGTTGTCTATTATGCAGCAAAGGCTGATATGCTGACAGAGGAATCATGTCATATGAAAAATACTTGATGACTATCATGACCACTGGCTTGCTGGCGTGACCATGATATCAGAAACTCCTAAGCCAGTCTTGGAGAGCAGCAGAGTCGGTCCTCCCGTTTCTCACTCACTCCTGGGCATGAATTCATTAAATGGGAAAGGGAACCCATTGACCTGACCTATTTTTGTTTTTCTCCCCTTTTTTCTCTAATAAGATAAAAAATGGATGTATCTAAGTTAAAAGTATACATAAGATGACTCCCCTGTGGTAACAATAAATACACCTGCAGACTGAATAATCAGAACATGACATCAGACAACAGGATATAACATTTGAAATGAGGACTGCCCTAAATATCTCAGATACTGAAATGAGCCACTAAAGATTTCTGAAAAGTGATGTTACTGCAATGTTGGGGAAACTGAGGATTACAGAAACATGTGGTGGGTGGCAAAGGACCATGTCAACATTTGGAAACAAATGAGGACGCTACTGAGAACTTTCACATGAGAAGAAAGAGATCTGAGTTGACAGGTCTACCCTGGTTATCAAAACTTGCACAGTGTAATAATTAAAAGCAAATAAAAAATTGCACTGTAAGGTCAGGTGCAGTGGTGGCTCACACCTGTAATACCAGCACTTTGGGAGGCCAAGATCAAGACAGGCTGAGGCAGGTGGATCACCTGAGGTCAGAGGAAACCCCACCTCTACTAAAAATACAAAAATCAGTCAGGTGTGGTGGTAGGCACCTGTAATCCCAGCTACTCAGGAGGCTGAAGCAGGAGAACTGATCAAACCTGGGAGGCGGAGGTTTCAGTAAGCCAAGATTGATTGCACCATTGCATCCCTGCCTGGGTGACAGAGCGAGATTCTTTCTCAAAAAAAAAAAAAAAAAAAAAAAGGCACGCCTGTAATCCCAGCGCTTTGGGAGGCCAAGGCAGGTGGATCACGAGGTGGGGAGTTCTAGACTAGCTTGGCCAACATGGTGAAAACTCGTCTCTACTAAAAATACAAAAAATTAGTCAGGCATGGTGGCACACACCCGTAATCCCAGCTACTCAGGGCAGATTTATTTTCAGAAAAGCAGGGAATCTGAAATTTTGGGTGAAATGTCCCAATTGCCAAAAGCTGAAAATGCTCTCAAATGTAGAATTCAGGTCAGACTATGTCAAACTCCTCCTTGTTCTATGTGAATAGCTAGTCTGTATCTTCACCTATGCATATTTATTTATTTATTTATTTTTGAGACAGTCTTGCTCTGTCGCCCAGGCTGGAGTGCAGTGGCACGATCTCAGCTCACTGCAACCTTCGCCTCCCAGGTTCAAGAGATTCTCCTGCCTCAGCCTCCGCAGTAGCTGGGACTACAGGCACGTGCCACCACGCCTGGCTAATTTTTTGTATTTTTAGTAGAGATGGGTTTTCACGGTGTTAGCCAGAATGGTCTCGATCTCCTGACCCTGTGATTTGCTGCCCCGGCCTCCCAAAGGGTTTGGATTACAGGCCTGAGCCACCACGCCCAGCCACCTACACATATTTAAAAACCTTAAACCTTAAGCAAGTCCATTAGCCACCATAATCCTTCCACACTGTAGCAAGAGTCCAGCCTTTGAAACTAGCTATGCTTCCTTGCTGCCTCCCACTGGAAAGTCTTCCCTCTAATTTCCAACTTACCAAACCGGTCAGGAGCAGCTGAGACAGCCCTACTTCTGGGAGTCCTCCCCAATCATTTGAAATTAGAGGCATCTCTGCTGTCCCTGCCCTTCATCCACATAACTGAACAATTAAGCATGTATGTCACTGTACTTTTATTTAAACTGCTCCATATGTGTTGTTCACAATTAACTACTTCATGAGTGACTGCGGTATGGATGGAGCAGAAAGGAATGCTGAGGGAGAACTCCTGTTAGAATGAGCCCCTCTTCCAAGACTATGAATGAATTTTGCCCATTACCAATTTTTTGCCTCCAGGGCAAGTAAAGGTTATGGGATCCATTCTGTTGACAGGCAAGATGGAATTACAGGTAATTCTCACCTCTTTTTTGGCTCTCAGGAGCTCTGTGGCCATTTTTCTGGTCTCCTGAGTGCTCTTCCTGGAGAAGGGCAAAGCCTCAGAAGACAGATCTGGGGATGTGAAGATAAACAAGAGAGTGGCCTCGGTGGAAACTCCCTCCCCACGAGGTGAAGCACAGTCCGCGCCAGATCCCCACAGTTGGGGTCACGGATGTCACAGAAATCAACGAGGAAGCCAATTTCTATCCAGAGGGGGCCCACAATGACCCAGCACCCTCAAGCTCAGCCTCAAGCTCGGGCCAGGGAGTGAAGTCCTTGTCCCCAAGCAACCGAATGAGGGTTTGTCTGTAACCCTGTTGGGCTCGAATCAAAGGAAAATGGCCTGGAGGTGCCCACAGGAGAGCGCCCGAGTACTGAGACAGCTCTGCCACTCCCAACCTGCGTCCCCGTGAGTAACACGGGGACACGCAGAGGGGCATGCTGATTGCTTAAAGGGCACTCACGGAACGCAGGTGCACGCTGCGGATCCTGAAGGCAAAGGTCAAGTAACGACGTGCAGAGGTGTGCAGAAGACGTGAAGAGGGAAGCCTCCCCGAGTATCAACCGGCCTAACGGGCCGCGCCCACTGACCGGAAGTGCTTCTGACGTCAACGCTACACATTGAAGGGGGGTCGGGAGGGTAGCCGAAGTGACCGCAGAGGCCTCTGGGGATTGTAGTTTCAGCGCTAGAAAGATGAGCAGTCGGCTTCGCCCACACAGGGGGCCTCTGACATCTGCACAGCGTACACAACCAAATTTAGGAGCCCACTGTTAAGATGCTAAGAAAGTGATACTGACAAGTTTCTCTGCTGCCTAATGAGATTTACTGGCCGCCTAAGCATCGCGGGACCGCCGAAGGATTCTGGAAAATGTGGTCCTGGCGCCCTACGGATGACCAGTGTGCTCTGACCTTGAGCTGCAGGTGACTTGAGCTCACCACGCAAGTCTCCGTCCTGGTGCGCCGTTCCCCCAGCAGATGCCAGGTCGGGATGGATGCGGCTCAGGGAGAGACGACGCTCTGCGGGAACTCCGGGCGTGGGGGCGACACCGGCCCTGTATCCCCTAGAGTAGGAGGGTTGCCAGGATAAGGAACCCCAACGCTATTTTTAGGGAGAGCGGGATTGGCTTGGGGCAAACTCGCGGAACGGAGATGGGGGAGACTGGTCGCATGTCCCTAGGATTTTAGGGTATGCAGGCTGAACTTGGGATGAACAGCAAAAGATCCCCTGGTGGTAGCGGTGGTGAGGAACCGAGGCTTGATCCTGAAATTCCCCAAATTTTTACTGAGGCTTGGGTACAGGTGCGGCCTGGAGGAAACTTCCGGAGGGTGGGGGTGGAGGTGGGGTGGTGGTGAAGAGGAGGCAGAATTCTGACCGATTGTTCAACAGGGGTGTTTTCTTTTTGCATTATTTTTAAAGATATTACATTAAAATACTGTGTATCTTGATTACTGAGGTTCTTTTGTGCCCCTTTAAATTCTGTATCCCCAGGACCGAGCATTTACAGAAGTGAGGCCAGGCTTCTGGGCATCAAGTAGCTGGAAAGTCCCTGAGGAACTTTCTCTGAATTGTTGTTGTGAGTGAGTGATCTTTTCCTTTCCTGACTTTCTTAATATCCACAATTGTAGCCATCCCTCCACAGCCACACCCACAAGCTACCTCCAAGGCCTACCATGAAGCACATACTCAAAGATTATTTTTAAACCTTCACACTCCACACCCTCCAGCATGTCTTCCAACATCCCTTTTTGCCTGGAGAAGTAAAAAACAAGGTTGCGGCTGGGCGCGGTGGCTCAAGCCTGTAATCCCAGCACTTTGGGAGGCCGAGGCGGGTGGATCACGAGGTCAAGAGATCGAGACCATCCTGGTCAACACGGTGAAACCCCGTCTCTACTAAAAATACAAAACATTTGCTGGGCATGGTGGTGCGTGCCTGTAATCCCAGCTACTCAGGAAGCTGAGGCAGGAGAATTGCCTGAACCCAGGAGGCGGAGGTTGCGGTGAGCCGAGATCGCGCCATTGCACTCCAGCCTGGGTAACAAGAGCGAAACTCCGTCTCCCCCCAACAAAAAAAAAAAAAAAAACAAGGTTGCATGTTAAGTATCAGCTTCTGCCATTGGGTGGGTGTTTAGGAAGGAGGATCCACCGAGAGCCCTATGACCTTGCCAAAGATTTAATATCTAAAAATGTAGAATGCTTGTAAGAGAACTCAGTGGAAACCAAAGCCAGGCATGGGGCTGAGCTTTAAGGAGCACAAATGAATAGGAGGGACTAGAAAACTTCAGAAAGATATGGTGGTGGGGGGTGCAGTGAGGATGTGGGATCCTGATATAATCCAGATCCCTATGTTTAGATGTATGTGTACAAAGGGAGTAAAGAGAGACCCAGGCTGATGGGGTATTTGTAATAAATCAAACATAACATAACAGCAGGTCAAGTGACAAGGGGACTCTCAAGTGATAAGCAGCAAAAGGAGTATCAAACTCCACAGAAATTAACCATCAACAAGACACCTAAGAAAGCGTTTATGGCTGCATTCGTTTAAATCAAAGGTGATAACTATCACCTGAGCGCTCCGTGCCAGGTTCAATGATACACCCACACCTGCGTCAGCCTCGGGAATCTGAACCACCTGTCATATCTGTGCTTTAAGGAGTCCTATTTCCCACTCTTAACTGGCTTGAGGTGTGAAAATCCATCTAAATTATATTAAAAAAAATTTAGTCATACCCATCAAGGGAACATGTCTAGTTAAAAAATTAACTCAACATACATAAAAATCAGCAAAAGCAAAAAATTGAAAAAATATTATTTGAAATTAAAAGCCACACCAACCACTGTGTCACTGATAAGTTAAAGAAACTGACCGGCAAACCAGGAAATACACTGGAAGAAGCAATAGTGAAAATATTTTAGATCTAAACCTAGGGAACGAGGCTACCTCAGTGTCCAAAGATATCAGCTGAAGAGTAGTGCCAAAGAAAGCAATAAGTTATTAGCTCTCTATACACTTACAGAAGAAACTTCTAATTTGAAAACCTCAAAGTTTTAAGTAAAGATTATTACAAAAAAACGAAGAACAAACCTCCAGAATCTTGGGTACAGAGGGTGGTCTGGTGGGAAGAGAGGGAATTACTGCCAGCAATGAGTCAAAAAAGTTATTAAAGATTAATTTCAAATGAAAAAACTGAAAACCAAGACTTACAGAATGAAACTAAAACCATGGCTAGAGGAAAACTTTTACCCTGAAAGTAGCCATGACTTAGAAATTCAGGCAGAAAACTAAGGAGTTACCAGTTACCCTTCAGATTAGAAAACTAACAGAATAACAGGAAATCAAAGAGGGAATAAATAACTAGATGGGGCTGGGATGCAGGGTTTATGGGGGAAATGATTCTCCATATTAAAGGAAT